GTAGGTAGGTTTGAGAAACCGGCTCGAGATACACTTTTTGTTATATTCCATGGAATGCTCTTAACATCCCGATAGCAATGAATATCTTAAGTGCTTTGACAAAAAATCCATAAAAAAATGTCATCTGTGGAAGCCGTAGCACTGTAAAAAGCATGACCAATCATCTGAGCCGGCCCGGCTAAAGTAACTGGATGGCCTACCTGCCTGTCAGCCTTCCATCTGTGCACAAACTTATCTCGTGCCCTCATTGGTCATGTGCGCGTTCGTGTGTGTGTTGTAGGAGGGGCTCTGTAGGAAGTGGCAGATTTTCTCCGGTTGTATATTTTCAAATTCTAGCGCACTCGAGCTGGTTTCTCCTAAAATTAAAGTAGGCGGAGCTTAGAGGTTCAAGAGGACCAAACGTAGAGCAGGTCCACCCGGATAAGTGTGCAAAATGTCTAACAGTCTTACGGTGCAACTATGTACATTTTTCAAAAAATGATTTACATATAGGTGGCGCTAGCGAGCATGTTGGACAATTTGAACCCATTGACTCCAGAATGTCACATTTTTCACCGGTCCTGGCGTCAGTGCAAAATTATGCAACTTTTGAAAGTCCTAAAGCCCTCAAAACAGGGTTCTAAGAACGGGAATAATAATAATATGTAGGATAACAATAGGTTCCTCGCACTTCGTGCTAGGACGCCGTTGGGTCCTAGCGCTCTCGTGCTCAGGCCCTAATAATATAGGATATGTACATTTCAATTATTCGGTTAAGCGTTTTTTTGGGGGGTTTAATATTCAAATATACATTTGCTTTCAAATTCCAATCCCTAATTGGGAGTGGCACCTTATTTTCATCCAAAGTAACAGACCCAGAATCAGCACTTTAGAAACAAGGCTGAAACAGAGGGATTTATGTGATGCTACAATGGGTGATCTGTTTGGTATTTCGAGCCAAACACTTCAGAGACATGTTTTGTATATATAAGACCTATAATAAAGTTATGAAAAACAGTATAATAGGACCTATTTAAGGTCAAAAGCAAGAATGAAAAAGTGAGTTGTTGTTAAAGCTGGAAGGGAGAGGCCCCAGGTCTGGAGCTTAGTCCTGATGGGCTGCAGTCGGGAAGCAGACCTGAGGGTAGGGGTGTCTGGTTGTAGGAGGTCGTAGAAGTAGGGGGGGCGAGGGTGTTGATGGCTCTGTCAGTAATCAGATATATTAAGAGGTCAATCCGGTATTTAATTGGGAACAGGAACTTTTGTAAAGGTGGATTTATCCTGATTTGTCCTGCTTCCTGTCAGATTTGTCAGCGCTCTGCTGGTGCCACCAGCTTACCCACACTGGCTGCTGTCTGGATCAGGGGTATGTCTGCCTTTCACATGCTTTGATCAACACATGTGTACACACACACACACACACACACACACACACACACACACACACACACACACACACACACACACACACACACACACACACACACACACACACACACACCACTTAGCACTGTCATTAATGATTTCATGTTCTCTATTCTAGTCTAAAGTCAATAAAGAATGGTTGGAGAACGTTCTTGGATTTTCACCTACTAGATGAATTATATCTACAAACTGGAGCCTTTGTTGTCCCACATCTTATATTCTCATGTTTGTAAAGATATGTCAGAGTTCGGGCTGGGGCAGGTGGAGGGACTGTCATTTAAACAGTCAAAGTTTATAAATGAAAACTAGCAATTTGGTATTTCACTACCCGGAGGATGTACCTCACATGGCTGACAGTATGATATGAGAACTGAGTCAGAGGGTCCATCAGGGTCCTTACAGAGAGACACTGTGTGTTTTTGTTTGTCAGGACGGGACCATGAAGCTGTGGGACTATGAGTCGGGCCGTAAGCTGCAGAGCTGGGACCTTAAAGAGCATGAAGAGACATCAAGCTCTGAGGCAGACAAACAGAAGGTAACCACGGTAACCACAGCATGTTTTACCATAACACATTAACGCTGCATCGTGACCTGATGTCTTTGGTTATACTTTGACTTTTTATCTGGTGCCACAGTGAGGTTTTCGTTCCCTAATAATCTAGGGGTAAAAGGAAAGTATCAACATATAAAATAACCGGGACAAAAAAAGAGGAAACTGACTTGTGAAACCAAAAGATAATGTTTTAATAAATCAAAACGGAGGACTCACTAGCCAATTTACAAACAAACTAAAGACAAATAAGAACAACTTTCTTACAAAGGAAAGTGACAACAGTAAACAATGTAAAAAGTAATGGTGAACATCTCCTAATACTTAACAAAACACTAGTCCCTCTGGACTGGTACTGGTACCTCTTGGGTACTGCCATGCTGCCCTTAAGCAAGGCACCGGACAACGCCAACATTTCTGGTTTTGATAGAAAAGTCTTGAAATCTATTTGATGGATTACCGTTACAATTGATACACACAACAGTGTTTCCTCCTCAGGACAATATAATGACCTTGGGCATTTCTTTTTTAAATTATTCTCAGAATTCTGACTTTCGGTCTGAGAACTTTATTGGCTTAAATCCTAGAAAAAAGTCAGAATTCTTAGAAACTACAACAAAAAAATCCCTTTTGGTCAGATCTCCAATTTTTTTTCGAATATGGCCCTTATCATCATCTTTAGTTTAGGCATTTAGCTCAAACTCATTATTAAAGAAATAGGTAACCGGACAAGATGTTTGTGTCTGAAGTATTTGCAGTCCGCTTGTAGTGGTTATTATTGACCAGTCACATTAATCTGGCTTTGTTTGCATGCAGCTAAACAGTCTGTAACGAGAGCAAAAGAGCCACACTGGCCACAATGCAATCTCTGTAGCGTATAGTTTGGTTAGGAGGGATCACTTCCTGGTCAGCAAAATCAGTAGCAAGGAAAAACATGAAAACATGCATTTGGCTTACGAGTGTTCTACTAGGATTAAAATATGTGCCTTGCTCTGATAAAAAAAAATACATATGCTGGTTCAGGTTTAATTTCATAGAAGCTGAGAATTGTCCGATCAAATAGTTTTGTGTTTATACCATAATAATAGTGTGACCTCAACTCCAAAGTGATTTAAATGGTTAATAACTTCTCTAAACTTGAACATATCCATGAAGCTCTCTTTACTCCGGCGAGAAGAAGCTCAGGTTGAAATATTTGAGTCTTACAGGAAAATATTTCTTCTTTATCATATTAGTCCTCCTCCTTGTGCTACCTGGATCCAGGGCCAAGCTGCAGACATGTGTGACAAGTAAAAGTGTTAATGTACAAACACACGTTGTCTCTAGGGCTCCATCCCACACATTGTAATGAAGGGGATAACTCTGGAATCCTGATCCATCATTTTTTCAAATGTCTTTTAAATTACAGCTTGGAGTCTAGGATGAACTAAGAAGATAAGATTTTGGCTAAAATGCTCCATAAGGTGGAGGTAATGATCAGGGTTTGGAGTCTTTGGAAAAACGTTTTGATTGGTTGTTTTCAAAGTATGAAACGGTTTGAAGCTGCTTGACATTTTTATTATCAACCCTATAGTTTTTTGTGACCAACTTTTTCTTGTTTTCTTGTTGCCCTCACAGAGGACAGATACACATTATATAGACAATAATACAAAAAGGAAAAGCAAAGTAAATATTTTGTATTGATTTTATAGTGAAATAATTGACCTGTTTTGAATGTGATGAAAAAGTGAAAGAATAATTCGATGATATGCTATCTACTGTATATAAATATGCAATTTCAAGTGGTCCTTAACATCTTTACCAGGGCACTCTCTCTGAATAAATTATGTTTCAGTCCATGAACACCAAGCTGCTTCTCTTACTAATCAATAACAAGTTCAAGGACAGGGGGGTACCTATGTGACTCCTCCACATTTCTCTTTTTTTATGTCCCAGAAGCCAACTGTGTGCCGCATCAGCTGCTCTCCTGATGCTCGGCATGTAGCCGTGCAGTGTGAGAGGTGAGTGTGTGAATCAGTCGTAGAGTAACGTGTTTAAAAGTCCCCACCATTCATTGTATTCAAGCTTTGTCATATTGTATCAACAGCTGCTGCCTTTAGCTCTTTCTCGAAAATATTTCTTACATGATGAATATGGACACATGCAGCTCTTAAGCGTTTAAAAAACAAAGGAATGTCATGTTCAGCAGTAGAAACTTTCTACTTTTTTGCCTGAATATTGGAGATGTATGATTGGCTTTTGGTGTTTTAACAATTTCCATTAGTATGGAATAATTATCTATTAATATGGAGGACAAGTTCAGAAAAGGACATCTCTTGAATGTAATGCTGCTTTTAATACCAGGAAACACTATACTAATATTTAATATTGCATTGTCTAGATTGGAAGAAGGGATATATTGTCACTCTCCACATTTCAGTGGTGAAACTGACCACCTGATCCAGTCACCACTACAGACCTACAGCAGTGTTCATATGTTATACGTTAATCACATGTTCTCAAAGTCAAATCTTCTGATAAGACCGTAAAGGAGTCAGATGAATGTAGCCGAGTGAGATTCTCTGGAGTGTGGAGTAAAACTGAACAAAATCCCACTGTTTAAGGTATTTGAGAGAATTTACAGAATTTTTATTTTAACTTTTGAATATCCGTGACCACAGGATGAAATATGATATAGAAGTGGATATTTTTCTAAAGGATTAAGTGAATATTTTTGCCAGTTCCTGCTCCTAGCATCCTAGTTTCTCAGTGTGTTTCTTTGAAAAATGTTTAGGTCCCAAACCTTTTTAGAGTTCCTGCGAACAGAAAGCTGCTTTTAACTTTGACATGCCATCCCACCTCGGCTGGCTTAAATGTATTTTTGCTTCTGATCTTTAAATGTATATTTGGAACTAAAGAGGTGCAAGGTCACTGGGGCTGTGTCGTATACACTGTGCATGTAGGTGACACTCAGAGTAGGTCAGAGAGAAGAGGAGCACAAAGTGAAGCCACATATCAGCGTTTCTCTGACGGATAGAACAGTGCTCAGCTGATTGTTTCCTGTGTCCTCAGAGCGTCCACAGTTCACTTCTTCACTGTGGACCAGGATGGTGAAGAGAAGCTTGTGCCTCACAGAAAGCTCTCCCTGCCCCACTGCCCCCTAGACATGACCTTTGACCCGGAAGGCCAGCTATGGGTGCTGATGGACTCAAGTGATGCACCACTCCAGATATACACCCACAGACGAGACTCCTGGGAGGTACAGTGTGATACATTCACTTATTTTTAGATTTATCAGAAGCTAAAGAGCATTTGAGAGGTTAAAATGCTTAGTTTCTACATTATATTGAGTTCTAATGATAAGGTGGCTTTGATTTGTCAGTGAGATATGCACTGAGACTGCTGGGTAGTTAGGGAGAATAACCCTTTCCTCTTTCTTCATGACAAAGTGTTAGAGAGGGACGTACACACAGGCCCTTTCTTATTTCTCGAAATCCCCTCCTCGACTCCCCTCCTCGACTCATATCCTCGTGTCTTAGTCCCGCCCACAGGAAATGCAAGCGGAAGAGTCGAGGAGGGGAGCTGAGGAGAGAGGAGGGGAAGCAGCTAATCTAAATCTCTCCATTCGAAATGTCCGGTCCAAATAATTTTCCCTTAGCACAATACCGCATCAGTTGCACCACTTATGTGACAGAGAAGAAGAGTATGTGACAGACAGAAATAGTAAATTCTAATGTCTAACACTTACGGTACGTCCACAGAGCAGCTTTGAAAAAAATTCCCCAAACAGGCGAAAACCTACCAGTTTCACCCACTGTCTCTGCCACCTCCCTCCATGCCTGGTTCCTCCGGTTTGTATCCCGGTAAGTTATTAGCGACTGGTCATAAAGAACCGGGGGATTTGCTACCGCAATAACTAATTTCTCCTCCATTTTCAGGAATATAGAAAATGAATTGCGGTCTGTCTCTCCCAGCTTGCATGCGGTTTGTTTGGCTAGCGCTTGTACAGTCAGATTTGCATAAACGGGATTTGATTGGCTGACGCTTCCAGCTCAGCTTCAAAAGTTGAACATTGCTCAACTTTTGAATCCTGGAAATCCTGGAAATCTTCGCTTTGCTTCCCCACAATGCAGTTCGGCGAAAAGCGAGGCAAAGTGACGTCACCCCCATTCAAAGTCAATGGGCAGAGAAGCGTTGGAAGATTTTTTTAAAGCTGCTGTGTGGACGTACCGTTAATGTGGAGAAAGAGATGTCCTGTATGGGTTGATTGTGCGTTGATCTGTTGGTAATGCCTCCGGGTTCCGGTAGGTATGTAAACAAATGCATAGTGCTGCGCTATACTTTGTGACCTCACCCGGTTGCATAGCAGCGCTTATTGTTTAGGTGTCTTTTGATAAGCAGGTAGTCCTATCATTAGCTAGAACTAGCTAGATCTGATCAATAGGGACATAAACGCGAGTAAAGTCAAATCTGAAGGGAGAGAGAGATCAGCTGCTGCTGACGAGTCGACACGCAGCTCTGCATGATCACCTGCAGCGGTGAGCGGACAAAACACACACTTCAGGTTAGAATATCACACGAAGCTATTTTAATTACCTCTCAAACTACCTAAACTGGTTATAGATATGTTTAGTTTTACTGTCGGGTCACTCATTACTGATCCGCGAGCTGCATGAGACTGACGGGAGAGGGAGGTACACACAGTGTTAGAGAGGGAGGTACACACACAGTGTTAGAGAGGGAGGTACACACAGTGTTAGAGAGGGAGGTACACACACAGTATTGAAGAGGGAGGTACACACAGTGTTAGAGAGGGAGGTACACACAGTGTTAGAGAGGGAGGTACACACATGGTGTTAGAGAGGGAGGTACACACATGGTGTTAGAGAGGGAGGTACACACGGTGTTAGAGAGGGAGGTACACACACGGTGTTAGAGAGGGAGGTACACACACGGTGTTAGAGAGGGAGGTACACACACGGTGTTAGAGAGGGAGGTACACAAATGGGGTTAGAGAGGGAGGTACACACAGTGTTAGAGAGGGAGGTACACACAGTGTTAGAGAGGGAGGTACACACACAGTGTTGAAGAGGGAGGTACACATGCCTGACTGTGCACCCCCCCCCCCCCCGCTCTGTGCAGTCTGATGATGAGAGCCCCGAGCTGATCAGAGTGACTGAGGCCTTCAAAGCGCACTGGGAGACACTGGAGGGTGAGTCAACACACACACACACACACACACACACACACACACACACACACACACACACACACACACTTCCATGTGGCCTCTATCTGTGTTTTTCCTGTGCCCTCTCATTCTCACACCCTCTTGACAGGAATAACCTGCAGTGTCACATGACCTCCAACATGTTGTGCTGCTGACACAGGATACTTTCCGCAGTGCTGTGCACTCAGAGATGGTCTTCTGCATACCCCTGTTGTAACCAGTAGTTATTTGAGTTACTGTTCCCTTTCTATCATCTTGAACCAGTCTGGCCAAACTCTGACCTCTGGCATCAACAGGGCATTTTCGCCCAGAGAACGGCCGCTCACTGGATATTTCCCGTATTTCAGACCATTCTCTGTAAACTCTAAAGATGGTTGTGAAAATCCCATTAGATCAGCGGTCTCTGAAATATTCCACGTTCAAAGTCACTTAAATCACCTTTCTTCTCGTACTGATGTTTTGTTGGAACGTCACCAGGTCCTCATGACCATGCCTAAATGCTTTGAGTTGGTGCCATGTGATTGGCTAAGATATTTGTGTTAACTAGCGGTTGAACAGGCGAACCTAATAAAGTGGCCAGTGAGTGTATATTACGTTAATTTTGTGCAGAAGTGAATCAGAATCAGCTTTATTGCCAACCAAGCTTACACGTACAAGGAATTAGCTTTTGTGTATAATGGTGCGCACATGAACACAGTAAGAACAAATAAAAATAATGTGCATGACATAAAAAGTTGTAAATAAAAATAAGACCGGTCATAAATATTAATAATACAAATAAAAAATAATAATGATCGTAAGAAATAAGTTTGCTTCATTAATACTACTGCAACAAGTACATTTATTTACATATAGTTAATATTAACTGTAATAAGTTATTAAGTATGTGAGGGAGTAAATTGACTCTTTACCACCCCCTCTGGAAATGTTATATACAATGTTTTGTTGTATTAATAATACAATATTCCTCATTCAAATGACAAAAACATATGACCAGCAGGAATTGAAAAGGTAACATATGACCTGAGTATGAAGTCAAATGTCCCCGTCAGGGATAGTTTATAAACCTGGCCGTTCTTTGTCAGACAGGCAAAGGGCCCCTGGCTTTAACTCTCTCTCTCTCTCTGAGTGATGAGGCGGGCCGTTCTTACGCTCTGGGCTTCAAACACAGCTGTGTCTTGAAATGACCATAAAACAATGTGTTCTTCAGACGGTCAGTCTGACCCTGCCAGGGACAGGATTGGCAGCGTCTTGTAGTATAATAATAAAATAATGTAGTTGTTTATGGATTAGGAGTGATTCAGTATGAGGGACGGGGGAGGGATCTTCAGGGTTGGTTGGGCAGAAGCTGGGCCCCGGTGGTGTCTCCGCAAATGTCTTTGTTAATCCTCCGGCCGTAACCAATACATCTTCAGAGTCTGTCTGACATCAACTCAAGCTCTCCTGTGTTCTCTCCTTGTGTTCTTGCTCCAACAATTTCTCCACAGTCCTCACCTCTATTTCTTTTATTTATGTTCATATTGTTCTCTTCTAAAGACGGTTTAAAGTATTTAGCTCTTTTTCTTGTCACAACCTCGTCCTCCTGCTCTTCTCTTCCTCAACAGCCTCCTTAAGGACTGACAGCCGCTTCGAGCACCTGTACAAGGTGAACTTCGACAACGTGGCGGCGTACCTGCAGAAGAAGCAGCAGAGACTGGAAGAGCAGCTGAAGAGGGGGGGGACACAGAAGGCCAACAGCAACAAGAAGGCCAGAAAAGAAAAGTTGTAACAAAGTGATCGAATGGACACAGCGACATTTATTTGTGATGTTTTGAATGATTGATGTGAGTTGAATGTGTGCATTTGATTAAGCAATTGAAAGTGTGTGCTTCCCCACATGGCAGTTTGGCTTACATTTCTGGCTGATTTTTAAATAAACGTTGCAGCAATCATCAAACTGTGCCTACTGTTTCCAGCACCATGCATGCCACATGCTGTGTGTGAATGAGCACCATACACTCTCTCTTCACATTCACTGCTGCTGTACTTCCTTTGCATTACGACACCGTTTTTTATCATATTTCTGTCTTCTGCACAGAACTGATGCAACATGCCTGTCGTTGATATGCATAGGATTCACAGTGTGTGTGTGAGCCTCTTGTGTGAGGCAGCGCATGATGAAGAACTCATTGTGATGAGCTGATGTCAGAACTCTGCAGGCCATTTAAAAAGCATTGTCTAAGACTTCATGGTGTGCTGTCAATATTAAATGTATTGCCCGGTAAGTAAGTTGAAAGGGTTTCCTATTCCAATATCCAGCAGACAGAGACATTTGGAGTTGTGTTTGTATCTAACTGATGCAGACTTGGAGTTAGGGCTGGGCGATATGGTCTCTAAATGATATCGCGATATTTACTGACTATATCGCGATATACGATATATATCGCGATATTCTGAAATGTCCTCTAAAAAAAAAAATATTTTTTTTTATTTAACCCCTTGATGTTTACAGTCACGCCAGTATGATGATTCTAGTAGTCCCTGCAACATATGTCTGCATTAAAAAAATCGACTAATAATGAAGAAAATGAACACAACATACACACATAATTTATGCACTAACTACATTACTACTTGTACTACAACATTTGAATCATCAGTTCTTCCTCATTTTCCTCAATTGTTCATATTTGGTTTATTAAAATAATGATATTGTGGTCATTGTTCAAAAATGTCAGTATTATTATTATTAGTATAATGTGCTTTCTGCCTTCCTGTCATTATCAGGAGTTAGACATGTAATGGCTATGTATTAGATTAGATTAGAACCTTCATTCTCCTAAACTGCTGGGACATTTCCCTAAAGCCAATACCTTTTATATTTTCTACTCTTCACTTACTTGTCAGCATAGGTCGGCATTGATGTACAGAGCCGACAGAAGACCTTGTTTATATTGGCATCATATTGAGAGGTGCAGTG